GTAATTCAATGTTCAGAATAATTATTGTTGGCTGTGGAATGTGTATTAATTTCCTTCGAACTCGCGACTTCAAGTATAATCTATGATCAGATTGCAGTAAAAGTCTTGTTATCGGTATTATGAATACTTGAACAGCTAGACATGAAAAAGATAAAAGAGCACGAGAAATGACTCAACAAATTCAGTAATGATTATTTTCTTGTTTCGAGGCTAAATGTATATAATCTCAGAATATACCCATTAACATCTAAAAAAGGGATTTGGGGCAATAAGTAAGTTTATTGAAAATCCGAAGAAATTTCTAGCTAATATCGTGAAAATCATGGCGCAGACTGTCTAGGAGGGCAGATAATCAGATATAATAGCGTCATAAAAAAAGAACTCCTCTCCCAACTGTAGAGGAGTTGAACATTCTGTTTGGAACTGAATGAACGAAAAGATTTACAAAACTCAAAAGAAAATATAAATATCAGACCAAAATAAGGATTTTCTCCTAGAAACTGGATTTGTCATTTGGAACAGTTAAATTATCAGTTGATTACCTAATTATTCTTTGAAAATAATCCTTATCTTTCTGAGTTAAGTGATATCCGATTACCAGTAGGTGCTATTATCTTTAGGGCACCTGTAAAACTTCCACAAGGTACCTAACTTTTAAACTAGCGAATTATCTAAAGGAACAATTCGTTCTGGTCAGTCTCAACTCACCTACACTGTAGGTAAATGGGCTGATATATATAAGAAATCATCTACTCCCCCTGGCTAATACCAGTCTCAACTCACCTACATTGTAGGTTAATGGACTGAGGCCATTAGAAAACAACTTAACAACTTCTCCCCTAGCTAATACCTCTCCCACAAGGTACCTACCTTTTAAACTAGCAGATTATCTAAAAGAACAATTCGTTCGGGTCAGTCTCAACTCACGTATTGTCAAAATATTACCTTGTGATTACGGTCTAATGGTGTTTTCCAAGTATTTGAGATGTTGTCATTACGTTTCCCGCATGAGGAATCTGAAGAGAAATAAATGAAGTGAATTGATTCCTAGTACTATATGTAAAAACCAGCCAAATAATGCCAATAATGGCTGTTTGTATAAAGTATAACTTGTTTTGATATCTCATCCTATATTAAGAACCCTAGATTTCCCTGAATAATAACAGTAATGGTTATCTTTCCCCGATATCGTATTCAGGAGGGCATAACGATAGAGATTACAGTAATTTGTTTATCAAATAATATTGCTATATCTTCATCCATACCGTACATTTGTTTTCCAATAATTGATAACGTCCAGAAAAAATGTTTATACAGTGTGTACTACGACTGAACAAGCAAAATGAATTTTATTCGCAGAGGAACCGTTCTTTGATAGGTATTACTGGAAGCAGATTATATCAAATAATGATTACATTGGCAAAAAAATGATTTTAGCAACAATAATTTACGATGAAAGTGAGAATTCTGGAAAGTTAAGAGGTATAAAATAAAAACCTTGAAAGTTTAATAATTAATAGATCCTAATGAAGTAAATTGTCACTATTTCAGACTAGCACTTAAGATCATCAATTCAATAACAACCTATTATAAATATCTACTTGGCTGCATGAGTGCCACATATATAGCTGAAGAGTTTTTTCTGAACTACACCAACCGTTTCTTACCAAAATATAGGTTTCATAGAAGCTCGTAACCAAAACTCCTCGGGTATTGGAGAAATATCTATGAGAATAATTCAAAATTTACCAGAATCAGCATTATTGATCATTGTTGTGCTGATCAATCTTTCCTTCTGATGAGGCATATCTTCGTCATTTATGAAAACGGTATTTATCATTCCTATTCATAAAAGTAGAGACGAAAATGATACTTCGTATTACCGACCAATCTTATAATCAGTTTAGCAAAGTTAAAAGAAAAATTGGTTGAAAAGCGACTCCAAAGTTTTTTGCTGCCGAATAACTGAGGAGTAATTGCCCTCTTCTCTTTCAAGTCGAGGATGTATAAAACATAAACTATGGTGAGTGTGCTGTGACAGTATTCTGTAATTTCTTAATTTCTAATTTCGATTTGAGAAATGGCAGTTTAACTTGGTTGAAATCATTTTCAGAATATCGCAAATAAATGTTTGTTATGACTTTCATTCCAATATCGCTCTATGCCACACGGTTCAGTTCTGGGGCTGTTAATTTTTATGTTGTGTAATAATGACAACTTAACTGAACATTTCTGCGAAAATCACACATTTTCTAGATCAGGGGTCTCCAAACTTTGAAGCCTTCGGGCCATAATGATTTTTTCAGTTTATTCCAAGGGCCAATTTCTGCCCTTAACTATATTTCTAGACTAGGATAGTCGCAAAGTGCGTGACCTAAGCAAACTTACGCTTTTTTTGCATTTCAATTATTATTGTGTATTGTGACACTTAACGACATCTAGTGGCGAGTAGTGGTACTATGTACTATCTTTTTCAGCTACCCGCTAGGTGGCATTAGGCGTAATTAAATATTTGGAATTACCGCGTTGGTTCGAGAAAGTTCTGGTTCTAGCTAGTGTATTCCGATCACCTCGAGATGGCAGTAATAATTGCATATAAAAAAGCTAGCGGCGCAACTGTGAGTTAGTCTGCGTAGGAAAGGCGAAGGAAGCGAAACTGTCTATTGTGAAATAAAGTAACACCCGTCAATAAAAGTATTTTGATTTGACTTATTGTTTTTATGTGTGATTTGTTAGTATGGAAAAGAAGCGAAAAATCGACAGTGAATGCAGAACGTTCCAAGAAAAATGAAGTACACAAAGAATGTTTACAGATCTCAATTAACCGATGATCATCTTAAATCTCTTTTGATAATTGGTAGAAGTAAAATTGATCCACAACTACAAAGTATTGTCGGTGGAAAATCACAATTACATAAATCTCATTAGTGTTTTTTACTGTGATTCATTTCAATTATTTGTTAGTTATTATTATGCTTAAACTTAAGATACTTAAGTTAAGTTTCCTTTGTCATCATTTCTGTCGTTAAGTTTTACTTTGCAAGTAAATAAAACCGAGTAATTATCATTCTGTGTTTTCTTCTTCAACTTATCACAGCAATAGTAACAACAATTAGGTAATCATTGGCTGTCGCGGGCCAGATTGATAACAGTAAATCATTGGCTGTCGCGAGCCGGATTGATGACACTGGCGGGCTGTAGTTTGGAGACCCCTGTTCTAGATGATACTACTGTGTAGTAGCATAGTGAATCTCTATGATACAATAAAACAAGGATGTGGCCCAAATTTTCGGCATTGAACTTGAGGAATAAAATCACTAATATACTACATTCTTTTGAAGTCTTCGAGATGAACCTTAGCAAATGAACAGGTCAACAATAGATCACAAACAAAAATTCTTGGTCATGTTAAATCGTTTTGTAAAAAATCAGCATCTGGTTGTTATGCAGACAGATTATCTAATAATAATAATGTTTAATCACCATTTTTTATAAGGTGAGTTAGTTGTCCTAAAAGCTAGTAAAAATATAAGCACTGATTTACGTCTATATATGTACATATATACAAATAAACATATAAGCCCACAACTTTGGTGAACATTTTACATCATTTACAAAAATTAAACCTAAATGAAATTACGACCACTGTGATTTTGATTGTCATTGATTGTCAATTAAAAAATCTTGGTAACTGTAATAGCATCTTTCTAAAAGAATATTTTTAATACAATCATGAAATACTTTGTCGCTTGTGATTTTTTTAACTACATTTGGCAGCTTATTGAAGCACGTAATGGCATTATACTGAAGGTTTTTTTATAGTTTGTCATTTGATGATGTGGGATTTTCAGATCACCATTTATTGTATTATGACTGTGTTCTGAAGCAGTCTTATCATGTAATTGATGGTTTTGGCTAACAATCATGATACATTTGAGGATGAAGGTGGAGGAGGCTGTCAATATTTTTTTCTCTATAAAAACGGACCGGCAGCTATCTTAGAAATCCATATTAAAGATTAGCCTTATGACGCATTTCTGTGCTATAGAAAAATCCTTTGCCCTGCCCCAAGCCATGATATGGTTACGTTTTTCCCTGTGGGTTGACCAATAATTGACTACACTGAATGATCAAACTCAACTTTATTTCACTTTAAATACAACAAACACTTCAATTAAACTTCAACTATTATTTGAATGTATATCGCCTTACTAAATCACTTCACGTACCGCACTGTAACGCCCACTTGACTGTCTTGATATCCTCGTGGCTAGCCTTCAAATATCTTAATCAAATGCCGTAGAAATTTCGCCGAAGTTCCGTTGAAATCGGTAGCATTATTCTCGCTGCTTCTAGAGTGGCGGGGAATCATCATACATTCGCGCTCTCTTAGCTACGTATATGGTTACCAGTGGTGGCCGGCGTTATTTTCTTTTGGGCATGATTTACAACCATATTTAAACTCAAATGAGGATAGACCATGACATAATTGATATCTTATTTGATAGTATGTTCATTCTTTGAAAAATAGCTTCAACATACATCTGTGAAGTTGAACAAACAAAGATAGTTGAACAACACAAAATGTTAACAGTCACACCCCTTTCTATACTTTAGACTGTCAGCTTCGTACGTAAAAATAGATAAATCTCACAAGACAAAGTACGCTTTACACATTACCAATACCCTCCAATGATCTGATAAAGGATGCCTACCCACCTACCCACTGCTATAAGGAACATTACATGTATGAACCATTTTGGAAAAGAGAAGAAAAAAACTGCTATAATTTTAATCCTTCATTATATTTTTTTCATTTTTCAACTCCCAACTAGAAGTCCGTTTTCTGGTTCCTTCAATAAAACTAGACACTACCAATTTTTTTTTATAACACTTAATAATTTGTTTTGGAACAGATTTCTTTTTATTCTCCTTCAATCATGTTTTTAAAAATGGATGATTTTCAAAGCAATTTTATCTGATTTTATCTTTTGTTTCAGTCAAACGTCGAAGATCATAATTTCGAATTTGGGTCCACATGTCAGGTTCGAAGACATCGAACATCTCCTCAACGAACAAGGGAGAGTAGTCTCATGTGACAAATTGACCTCCAAGGACCCCAGTACGCAGACCGTAGCTGTTACGTATGAAACTACAGAACAAGCGCAACAGTGAGTTCAATACTTTTTATCTACCCCTAGTATTGATTTGGAAAAATCACTATTGATTTCCTGATACAGCATTGTTAATATGTCTGACAATAGCAGCAAACTACCTAAACCAAAAAACTTTTTCTCAAGAAGCCATAAAAAAATACTCCTTTCAATTTAAAACAAAATCCTGTTTTAGATATTTGAATATTTACTGATACGTTAGAAGAGTCATTCTATTAAAAAACTTGTCCTAATCCCTTTTGCTTGAATGAAAAGTTCAGGCGATAGAATGTGAAATCCCCACTTGCAAGATGATGGAAAAGATTACATTATAACTTCAAAATTTCGGTGTTCGAAACATTGTTTCTTTAGCCAGAAGTTTGTGTTAATAACAGCTATGCCGGAGTGCCACCAAGATTTAGCCAAAGCCTTGTTGGATAATAACATTATCCTGCCGACTCTTTAACCGAGGAAGCGGCTGGACCAAGTGGCACCTGGTGACTTCGACAATTGCGGAACTAGCCAAATGTTACACCCATGCTCAATCCCTGAAGAGATGGGATGGAATCAAAGGATGCAATCTTGCCAGGATCACCCTGGGCGACCCTGAGAAGCTGGTGCCGAAGAAATATCTGGCGATGACCAGGAAAAATCTACGCTTTACAGTAGGATTTCTGACTGGCCTCTGTCAACTGAGGAAACACCTCCATAATATAGGGCTAGTGGACACACCTTTATGCAGGATGTGTGGACAGGAAGATGAGACTGTCAGGCATGTCCTATGCCAGTGCCCGGAGTTATCGTCAATAACTGAGTGTATGTTCGGCGAGTCTTGGTCCACACCTGCCGATATAAAGGAGATGTCTCCCAGCGACCTGTCCACCGTCCTGGAAAGGACAGGATGGACGATGACCTAGGAGGACAACTTCTCGGGAGGATGTACAATGGATCACATGTGGACTAAGTGCTGTGGGACTACACTAACCCTCCCTACCCTACAGATACAGAGATGCCGATAGTACTAAAGAATTAAACAAGCAAAAGTATTTCGATCATGATGAAAATCATTGCATGGAGCTTTAGTAGAACACTAAATTCAAGATTCAACTGAACAATAATCTGGGGTTGGTCTGGAACTGGCTCAAATGGCTATGAATACTCAAAGTACAAATGTAGTGGCTTTATCTAAACTATACTCGGACCATAAACAAACTTTGCGTCAGAACTGTCATGAATTAATGAAAAAAATTGTACTACTGTTTCTTCTTATCGAATCACGGTTTTTTCTAACTAAAGGTGTACTCCATCGACGTCGATGATACGCAGGTAGCAGAAGTAACCATCCTGGAAAGGACAGGATGGACGATGACCTAGGAGGACAACTTCTCGGGAGGATGTACAATGGATCACATGTGGACTAAGTGCTGTGGGACTACACTAACCCTCCCTACCCTACAGATACAGAGATGCCGATAGTACTAAAGAATTAAACAAGCAAAAGTATTTCGATCATGATGAAAATCATTGCATGGAGCTTTAGTAGAACACTAAATTCAAGATTCAACTGAACAATAATCTGTGGTTGGTCTGGAACTGGCTCAAATGGCTGTGAATACTCAAAGAACAACTGTAGTGGCTTTATCTAAACTATACTCGGACCATAAACAAACTTTGCGTCAGAACTGTCATGAATTAATGAAAAAAATTGTACTACTGTTTCTTCTTATCGAATCACGGTTTTTTCTAACTAAAGGTGTACTCCATCGACGTCGATGATACGCAGGTAGCAGAAGTAACCCACAGTTTACCCTGAGTTCGTCGACAAATGGGGCAAAATTCATAAATGTATCAGCTCGCAACTACAAGTGACCTGCGTCACAATGAAAGAGATTTAGTACTAGTAACATGAAAAGGCTTTTAGGGCCAGTGCCAGATGATGACGTTTGGTTCTACCAAGCCCAAATTAGAAAGGTGTCAGCCTCTGAGAGAAAATGCACTGACTTCTATTGAATTCAGTTCATTCCAAGAGGTAGACCAAAGGTTGTTGATTGATGAGGCCGTGATCCCAATGTTGATTAAGGAGAAAAGAACAAGGTCATGAAAGTCTCAATTATTCCTCTCCGGAATAACAGAAAGGAAGGGAAAATGTTACAAACCTGGACACTAAGTAAATAATTCCAGAAATGGCAAGACTTTCGTAGAATATTCGTCAGCGGGAATTAGTCGTTAACTGTAACCTGAAATTTTAAACGTCGTCACTATTTTGAAGTATCGATTGAGAGTATCTGTAGAAGTCATTTCTGTCAGTTGTCAGTCACAGACATATTCTCAAGATGTATCTTTAAGAAATTGAACAAGCTCGCAACCAGAAACTTAACAGTTGTATACGGTGTATGGATATTCGATGATTTTATACAAGACGTTATCTTTCTCGGGTCGGCTATTGGTTCCTCACTCGACACAACACGATTCAGCGAGATGCATACTTGAAAAAATATATTGTGACAAATTAATGAATTAACTGTCTTAAACAAATTTATTTCCAACAATATTTCACTAATCACAAACTAATTCATTTATTACAACACTTGGCAACTAACGCTTGATTTATTTCCGCTATTTGAATTTCTTGTTTAGCCACTCTATTCACTTTCTGAACTGCCCTCTTGGGACGGGAAGACGGGCTTATATCGGTAAAGGTCCTTTCTAGAATTCTGTAGTCGGTTCGGTACTAGAATTTTACCGGCGATTCCCGACTGCATTCTTTCGAGGTGATCATGTGTTTGTTCCATGAGTCGGTCGGCGTACTAAAAAATCTTCTATTTTCAGTTTTTCCCGTTTTTCTTGAAAGTTTTCTCTACTAAGGTTTTTTTTAGTAACTTTGAACTGATATTTCATTAAAAAAAGTTTAACACACAAAAAAATCATAGCACTGTATCATATACTAATTGACAATTAATTCATGTTTCAGGGCGGTAAATTCCCTTAATGGCGCCGAAGTAGAGGGTAAACAACTGAAAGTCGAATTGGCTGTAGAAAAACGGGGGCGGAGAGGTCCTCGGGGTCCGGGTGCCCCCTTTGGGGGGTTACCTGGGCAGAGCAGGCAGACAGACTTTCCCTTAAGGATCCTGGTGCAAAGTGATATGGTAAGATTACGTTGATTGGTGAAACAAGTACTACGTGTGTCATTTTTCAAAACTTTTATGTACTTCTCAGTACTGAAAGAATAAGACCACATTTTTTTTCGTTCAAAGATGCAGAAATAGAAAGTCAAACACTTCTATTCCAAAAACTAATCTCTCGTAAATTTGTCAATACCGTATATTACATTTTCAAAATGTGATCGTTTTCAACGCTTGTATGGAGCATTTTGACATATAATGATGTAGTAGCGAAGGATATTAGTTTTTCTTATTGTTTTTTTGGGTATGTAATCTTTCACAATCTGAAAAATGAACAAAGATAAATCAATAGAGAATCTGCTGGTGTGTATTAAAGTTCACCCCGAAAAATCACTGGGTAATATGAACCACTGTTTTCTTTATAATATTCACGTATGTCACTAAATTATAATTTTGTTCAGGTGGGAGCAATTATCGGCAGACAGGGTTCAACTATCAGACAAATTACGCAACAGACAAGGGCACGAGTGGACGTCCACAGAAAAGACAATGTGGGTTCCTTGGAAAAGGCCATCACCATTTATGGTAACCCTGAAAACTGCACGAATGCGTGCAAGAGGATCCTGGAAGTTATGCAGCAGGAAGCCAATAACACGAATAAAGGGTAAGTTGAAAAAAATATGGTTCATTGGATAAACTAGTTCGTAACATCTGAAACCCTTCAGAGAGCTCAGATGAACTAAAAGACTCCTTGAACCTCATATTGGCCTAAATGCATGTTATAATCCTTTCATATGCTAACCCTGGAATGTGTTTAGGAGGCGGAGTTGGGGTTAGAAAAATAAAACAATCGATATAGTTGAAAAATTTCAGTCTAGGTGTTTTTGGACAAAAACAATACTGTAACGATGCTTCAGCCTCCATATTCGCCAGACATGGCTCCATTCGACTTTTTCCTGATTCCAAAAATAAAGAAAACCTCAAATGCTCGTCGTTTCACAAGCATATATGATATCAAAAGTGCATCGCTGAGAGAGTTGAAGGTTATCCCAATGAATTAGTTTGAGTCTAATGAGGACTGATATGAAGGCGAAAACATTTCTGTTTTTGTCAAAAAATTAAAATTCTCACTTATTCTCTGAACATACCTCGTGCTCTACCAGTTGTACTTTGTAAAATGGTACCCCCTGGAAAAATTGATATACTATTCGACTTAGGAAAAAAAATGAGTAAGGTGGTCCTTCAATATGTAGAAAAATGATATGGAATTCATTTCAAATCCTTTCAAGTAAGTCTACTGGAAACAAAGGGTGTAATCAATTTGAATATTTTTCTATAAATACCGTTCTTCTCAACTGCGATAGCCGAAGTCTTTTTGCCTGAATTGGATGAACTGCCCCTGTAGACATGAGCCTTAACATGACCCCACAAGAAATAATCCAAAGGCGTTAAATCACACTATCTAGGCGGCCAATTGATGGGCCCAAACTGTTCACCGAAGGCGGCTCTTGATTGGGCCAATGTTTCGCGTGCCGTGTGGCATGTGGCACCGTCTTGTTGGAACCACATATCAGGCATGTCCAATTCTTCCATTTTGGGCAACAAAAAGTCGTCAATCATCACACAGTAGCGCTCGCCGTTCACAATAACGTTTCAGCCGTTGTCGTCTTCGAAGAAGTACGGCCCGATGATGCCACCGACCCATAAACCACACCAGTGACTTTTCCGGGATGCATCGATAGCTCTTGCAATGCTTGTGGCTGGTCTTCACTCCAGATGCGGCAATTTTGCTTGTTGACGTATCCATTCAACCAGAAATGAGCCTCGTCGCTCAACACAATTTTTCGATAAAAATGTGGATCTTCCTCCAACTTTGCCAGCGCCTATGGGAGGTCGTGTGGCTTCAATTCTTGCACCAGCTGTATCTTATAAGGTTTTACACCCAAATCCTTTCGCAAAATTTTCCACGTAGTGGAGTAACAGAGGCCCAATTGCTGCGAACGGCGGCGAATCGACATTTCACGGTCATCACGAACACTGGCGGATACAGCCGCAATATTTTCTTCGGTCCTCACTCTACGTATGCGTATTGGTGGTATAATGTCCAATAATGTAAACTGGGTTCGAAATTAGTCACAAGCTTCCGAATAGGTCCCTCAGTAGGCCGACGAAACTGCCCATAAATTGGAAGAAGTGCACGATGCACTTTCTTCACAGAGCATGAATTTTGATGATGAAATTCAATAATTTGCAAGCGTTGTTCATTCGTAAGTCAATTCATGGTTAAATTATAGACCAAACCGAACAAGTTTGACAATGAGACAAGACACGATTCACGCGTGATCTGTCAAAAACAGTGTTGCCAAAAAGATTCCACCAAAAAAATCACTCATTATAATAGCATTATTAGGTGTTTCAAGCTGAACAAAATTACATTAGTTGGAATTTTCTAGGTGAATTGATTTCTGAGATGACGGATTAAAATGAAAAAAACATTTCTTGGTAGTATTATTAGCAAACTGAAAATTATTAAAATTCAGCAGGTCTCCTTGAGCTTCTAATGGAAGCTCGATGTGGCACACACTGTATTTAATCGCTTCTTCTTCAATTAACAAAGTTAATTTTTTCTTGTAGAGAAATATCTTTGAAAATACTGGCCCACAACAACTTGATAGGCAGGATCATAGGCAAGGGCGGTAACACTATCAAAAGGATCATGCAGGACACCGACACGAAAATCACCGTGTCAAGCATAAACGACATCAACTCCTTCAATCTGGAACGGATCATCACCGTGAAGGGGACGATAGAGAACATGAGTCGAGCCGAAGCGATGATCAGTTCGAAATTGAGGCAGAGCTACGAGAACGACCTCCAAGCCATGGCACCCCAGACGATGATGTTCCCGGGTCTACATCCCATGGCTATGATGGCCACTGCTGGTAAGACAATACTTATAAGTCAAAATATTTTATTTACACTGTTTTCTCTATTCAAAATGGTTCAGTGAATTGGAAGGTTGGACACCTGACATTTTCCGTACAAGAAATAAACGAAATAGACCCCAATTGTTTTGCTAAAAAATAATCACATAGTTTCCTTTTTTTCTATCACGTTTATATATCTGGCAGGTTAATTGAGTATGTAGTATCAAGATTGTTAAGATCGATGATATCTCTAATGGAACGGGATATTGTGAAAAAATTAACAAAATCGAAAATTCAAATTCGGAATTCAACGAAGTTGAATACCGATTTTTCATTTGATTTCATTGATCTTAGTATATTATTGGTATTATTTTTATTAATTTAGTAAATCATGAATTACTCAAGGAAAACGGGGCTATTGATATATTGACTTGAAATAGTTCTCAACCGTGGCAGTGTGGTCGTAGTATCAACTTTATCGGTGTATTTCATCTGTTTGGACTTCCACCTTCAAACCATCCCTTCAAACAAACTTTATCGGTAGTTCCCGGTCTACAAGTGGATAGTATCAAAGTAAGGTATTCGTAGTTGGAAATGAAAAATTGTATATAATCTTATTTTGATCGTTATATTCGCTTGCCAATATAAATCACCTGTTTCGAGACTTTTGTAGCTACTCACTGAACCTCCCAGGAGATATGATATTTTATTGTTATAGAAATATTATAATAATTATTAAGAATAATTATATAATTGACATTAAATGAAAAGAACGTAACACAGTTCAATTCAAAAACACCTGTGCATATTTGACATTCACATAAAGCTTACCACTCAGTGGAATCAAATTATATTCCGAGATGAAATTCAAGAATTATTGTATCAGTGGAATTTGAATGAATATTTTCATATTTTCCTATCGAAAATTGTTTTTTTCAGTTCAATAATATTTAATGACAAAACATCAATTATATTGAAACTTTCATTTATGGCTATTGATAAGAGATTATCATAGAATAAACACATAAACTTTTATCGTTTGTATCTAGTTCCTATATTCATGTAATTGTTCAATCTTGTAACGATTATAGTTCATCCTTTCATGTACATGGTGTTTAGAAATTAAATGGTCACATTTATACAAAAATAGTTCCCTGCGAGTAATAAATTGAAATAGAACTTGACTCTTGATAAATGAATTGAACCATTCTGAAACATGCATCGTTTTGTTAAAGTTTATGCCAAAAATTATTTACGGTTTTCATCGAATCCTGGAAATAGTTTAATTTCAATGCGAGTGATAATCTATTGGAGTTTCGAAGGTTTCAGTCGTTTCTTTCCCGAAATAAATTTTGAAAAATTATGTATTCGATTTTACAGTACAGGAATTCGAAATCTAACCGTTTGATCATTAATATATCAATTATAGAAGTTCTAAATGTAACAATGTAACAATAGTTTTGAAGTGCAAAAGCACTGTACGATCACTACGATTTATGAAACTGTCTTTCGGGTTGAAGAATGCCCCAACTATATGGCAACGTAAGAAAAATAAATATTTAATTGAGGAACGCTGACATCCCAACGCGTTAAAATAAATAACGATACGAACGATTGATTTCACCAAAAAACATACATGTTTATTATAGGGAAAACACCATAAGTCAAAACTATAACAAATAAGTACGAACAAAAAATTATGCATTAAACTAATTTAATTGAAGAATACAGTTTGATTGGTTCAACATATAATATATATTCTGAAAAATAAATTTCATCCAGGAATTGGATATGGATCAAGAGGCCTCTACACTGGACAAGCTCCCTATCCTGGCATGTACCCTGCAGGATCGTCTCAAGCCGGTGGCGATACCCAAGAAACGACATACTTGTACATACCCAACAACGCAGTAGGTGCCATAATCGGTACTAAAGGTTCCCACATCAGAAATATCATAAGATTTTCCGGTGCCTCCGTTAAGATAGCTCCCATAGACGAGACCAAACCCCAAGAGACGCAAAACGAGAGAAGGGTCACAATTGTTGGCTCCCCGGAGGCCCAGTGGAAGGTAATTTAATATTTTTGCCGCTTGTGGTGTACTTCAATATGTATCTCTTTCTCAGGCCCAGTATTTGATTTTCGAAAAAATGCGAGAGGAAGGATTCGTAGCTGGTTCCGACGACGTTCGACTAACGGTCGAGATAATGGTGCCAAGTTCTCAAGTAGGAAGAATTATCGGCAAGGGCGGTCAAAATGTACGCGAACTGCAGCGAGTGACCGGCAGCGTGATCAAATTGCCCGAACAAGGCGCCTCTCCTCAAGAAGACGAAACCACAGTTCATATCATTGGGCCGTTCTTCAGTGTCCAGGTGAGCTATTTCATTTTGATAGGAATGCCGATCAAGGGGAATTAAATTGAATATAAAAACTGGGTACGAATTATGAAAATGTCTCAATAATTTTTCAGCTAATGGGATAAAAATGAAAAAGAAAAAAAAATTAAACTTTCTGGATTGCTATTATTGAAACTACTATTTCTAGGCAAATACATATTTTTATTTTAATATTGTGTCAAATGGCAAGAAAATCAGAAGGTAGTACCTTGTGTCGTGTTCAGTGAAGTGTAGAATCATCCTAGAATAATAGAATACATAAGAAACCGTACAGTTCACATATTGAAAATTCATCTTCTCTCAACTGGTTTTTCTGCAAATTTAAATGAATTATCATGATCAGATCCTAGAAGTATGATCGATAATTAATCAGTCTATGATAAATAATCTACTGTTTTCATTAGAGTGAATCAAGACAATTGATATTTTTTTGTTTATTCAATGAAAAATTACTCTCTTCAAGTGTTTCTTTATTGAAATGTGTTCAATTTCATATATAGTTTTCTACAACTAGGTACAAAGAAGTTATGAAATAACAATAAATATTCCAATCAACGAGTATTTATTGAAAGTTTGTTATTTTCCAATACTTACAACTTTCAGTGCCTCTTAAGAATGCATTTTTCATTAAATGATGATTTTGTTTCAGTCGGCACAACGACGCATTCGTGCCATGGTCCTGCAGTCCGTAGTGCCCCCGCAAGGCCGGCAGCGCCCCCCGAGACCACAGAAAGATCCCAGTCAATCGGAAGGTACATCATCCGAGCCACAACAGTAGTACTAGCTAGAGCAACACAAACACTGCCTGTGCGCATGGGTTTCACCATACCCTATTGTACACGAAACGTCTCTTCGATGCCTTCCACTCGTTTCAAGGAGCTCCACCCCGTACGACAAGCGCAGGTCGTGCTTCCAAATGAGCGAGGGTGCGCCTTGAGTTTTTGTTTTCTTGATTTTTTTTTTGAATAGTTATTATATAGTTGAGTTGATATATAGTGGAAAGTCTTTGACGGGAATCGTCCTGGAATAAGGTATGCGTCGAACTACGTGCCTACTAAACAGAATCTACCTCAAATAATCAAAATATATTAGATTATATAGCCACTGAAATTTCCGTTATTTACACACAACAAACATACAACCGAACAACCGCATATTTTTTTTTACTATTACCTGAACTTCTGTGGACACAATAACCAAAGATACCAAGCCGATGTTCGACAGCAAAAGTCCAGTCATCGTGAACATCTGAAGAATTTGCACACACACTACATCAAAGAAACACAAGAGGCGTACAGTTCCTTCGGAGTTAACGTGGCTGTTACATTTTTTTACTACTACTACCGTAATAAAATACGAGTGTGAATGTGAAAAAAAAAGCTTTAAGTAACTATTTCGGACCTTGTTTTAGTTTATTAGTGTATTGTGTTTGGAGCTAGGCGGTAGATGGTGCGTCGATAGTTGCGATTGTTTCGAAATTGCGACAAACTCTTTGCCAAGTCGCCGGGGAGTTTATTTGGCCGAACGGCATTCGGACGAACTGTCGTTAACAAAAGTACCGCTTAGCCCCAATTGTGACTGTACTACACCGGAGAAGGTACCGCGATACCTAAACCAAACTGAAACTTGAAAATGGACAACTTCGTGTGCGTGAATGTGGTGAAAAATAGACATTTTTTAACTATTATATTATTGTTAGGCGATTTGTTGAAATAAATGTTATTTTCCGTCGGTTTGGGGTTTGGGCAGGTTCCGAAAAATGTATTATTATTTGTTGGAGTGTCGGGACTGTCGCCCCTCCCCGCTCCGCGGAAGCATGCAAAAAAAGAGCGGTGAAATTTAGATATGCCAAGATGTAGGAGACGAGTACGAGAGGAAAACGGCCTCCTTGAATGCCTTGCGTCAAGGCAGTTAGAGAGAGGGATCCTCTCGTTCCTGATAGTACAAACTCGAGAATATAGATGGCGTTAGGACAGAACGCCAGGCCGGATTTCGTGCGGGTGGGTTATTAGGGATCATTCGTCACTTGAATGGTGTGGAGGTGCCTCCAATCTAGCCCCTACTCTGTTTACTTTTTTTTGTCGAATTAAGTTGGTGGTTTCGTATTCCCAGCTGTTTCTTCATTAAGATATTTCACTGCCAAGCCGATATGTGCCTAGTCAGTGTTGAGCAGTCGCAGGGTTTGATCATCTTTTAAGTCGTAAAATATAATTGCTGATTGAGAACAATATTTCATCTATTTCGTTCTATTTGAACACACGTCGAATTCTACTGAAGAGCATATTCAAATACTATTTGTCAGATTCTTTCTTCTGTTTGATTGAAAAAAAATCAAATAGGAAAAAACATCGTTAAAAGTTTTTGATGCAAAAGGTAGGTTTAGGTTTTTTTGACAAACTAGGTTTTATTTCAGAATGCTATTTCCAAACATTCGTTTGGAAATAGAGAAACATGAAATATAACGGCAAATGAAAATAAAATTTTGAATCGCTCTCCGATGCCATTTTTCCTATATGAAGAAACTTCTACTTTTTTTTTCAATTTGAAAGTATTCTGAATTCTTAAATCCCATTGAATTCAACAACTGAAATATTTGAATAATAAACTATGTTACTGAGATAAAAAAGCATGGAGTTTACTTTTTTCGCCTGGTTTTAATGCCCATGTTATTTGACGTGACTACTAAAGCAAATGATTGGCTGACTTTTTGTGGCGAACGATCCCTAATAACGCATTCCCATGAAAAACCGCGTTGTAAAATAACTATTTTTGATAAATATTGTTTGTTGGGGTGGATATCTTTTTGTTAGATTTTTAAAAAAATTTTAGACGTAGCGGGGTCGCTATTTTAAACTAAAAATAAGAAATTGTGAAAAAATGGATATAAATTATTATATTGAGAATATAAATATATTTATTACTTTTGTGTATAAAAAAAATGAGAAGAGAAAAAAATTTTGAATCGTTTGTACAGAGTTTATGAAAAGAGTGCCAAAGTGCAAGAAATGTTACCAGGAGAGCTTGCTTTATTTATGATAAAAAAAATGTTAGTAAAAGGGTACATATATTTATTTTCGGCAGAATGAAGCATAGAGAAAAGAAACACTCGTCATCCCTCTCATACAACATTCTTTCGGGAAACTCTCGCAAAAGCCATCTACAGTTAATGTGGTAATGTAGAAAATAAAAATTGGTAAAAGATACAATCATATAACATCGCACAAAACAAACGACTTTTAGTACAAAATGAATGTAATAAACAAAGTGTAGAAACAGTTCCAACATTCAAATGATCCATTTTTCACAGAAGATACCATCAGTCTATTGAGAAAATCTAACGTTGGCTGATTTTCTTTCATCTGCCTTCAGTATCTTGTAGCAGGTGAAAGAAATGAAGAGCTGTCAATTTTCATTATTTTTCCATTTCAAAATTATCGTAACAATCAAAACGTTACTTTCTGACCCCCCAAAACAAAAAAGGTTGATTGTAATACTGAAATGATCACCAAGATCACCAAATCACGTAATCAATTGCTACCAAAGGCAGTCTACGCATACGTATATGTTTTTCAATTGAGTTGAGATTTCATTTGTGTCAATTCATCTACCAAAGAAATCATACACGCTAGGAAACTAGTTTGAATTTTTTCTTCACACAATTGATACTTTCTGTTTTTTCTGTTACGTTTTCAATTATTCGATTTGTTTTCGAAAAATACGTTGCAAATAGAGTTTGTGGTCGTTCTTCAAATAATTTGCTTGAACGTCAGTGCCAGATAAACTCCACAATTCCTTTTCATCCTGAGAGCCATTATATAATAATTTTTGATTATTCCTACAGGGCGAGTCTGAATGTTGAATATTCAGTGGCATAGGAAATGTCGTAAACAAATCAGGACATGTATAAACTAGGAAAGCTTTGTGATGTTTGGTTCGCCCTGTATCTCACACGTGTGCGAGGACAAAAAGCGTTCTCGTAATACAGAATAATCACTGCTTATACTGGGCGATTCAAATGTCCCCATCCGTTAGGGCTCGAGACATATTATAATGTACACGGAAGGTTGAATGGCACCAAATCAGGGAAATAAACAATTATGAAATTTTTACTGCTTCCAAAGTTTCAAAAAGTTTTCTGCAGCCCCTTCAAGCTTCAATAAAAGTGTATTTATTTTTCAAGAATGAATTCCATGCATCTAAATGTGTCAAGCCTATTCTGTTTGAGAATTCCACACGGATGTGACATTTGGGTCGCTCTGTATAGGCCCGTACGAAAATTACTGTTGGTCGTTGACTTAAAAAAGATGACTGACAATCCATACATATACAAAGTTATGGTATTTCATAGTGCCTACCATAAATTCCGATTGAGCGATTGATTTCGATTGGATTAATATTATGTAACACAAAAGTTTGACCTCCCGGCTATATTGTGTGAACCGTTTAATATTTTGTCGATATCATAAAATGAAAAAAATATATATAATAATAATCATAGATGTTGTGAAGCGTGAGGCAACTTTTGTTTCGTTGTTTAAATTTGCGTATTTCAAGTGATTGTCTGTTTTGACAAATGTCGAATTCAGTCGTCTCAAATCGGGATCGCGTTATTCTATAGTTATAGTTTTTCTTTCTTGAAGTTATGCATTTTTTTACATGTAATTTTTACGAGTTTCATAGATTTCTGACGTGTCCGAAAAAGCTACGTTCTGCAGGCGAGTTACTCTGTTACGTCTACTTGGTGTTTCAATGCATTGACTTACATATTGATTTGAGATCTGAATGACCAAATATTTCGACAGTTGATCGAATTTTTGGAGACTTCAAAGTGTAATTGAAATCGAATTTCTTCCGAGATTCGCAAAAAAATTCATTTCAAATATTTGGAAAGAATATCGGCCTCTTACGCAACAAATATCTTTGAAACCAAGAAGTCGTATAACAAAGAAACTCGTCCTTCCGTAAAAATACATAGCCGTAGAAAAGCCTTGGTTTGGGTTAATCTGACTTTCTTTTTTCCCAATATACTTGAAGTAACATTAATCACCGAAGGAATTTTCGTTAATGAGTAGCTACTCATGTGAGTAATTTAGAAACGTCCGGATTAACTCAACAGAACTTTTCTGACCGAGAAATCAAAGTCATTCTATAGTATATAGTACATATATTATCATCTGGTATTTTTTATATTTAATTGTTCGGGTGAGTGGGTACCTCTCGACAATCAGTTTTAGTATTTTCGAGTTAAGCCTCTCACCCACTGTGGCTTGGCGGTTTTCAACTTCTTTGTTTGTTCCAATAGATAAATCATGTCAAATCAGTAAGTTCCGATATGGCTCGACATCTGCGGGTTGGAAACCGTTACTTCCACATTTTTTAAAACCACTATAGTTTATAGTACATGTTACATAACGCTAGACGGAGACTGATGTGTGCAAACCAGCCCGCTGTAGAATTAGTACCTTAGTACCGGATAAATGTACCGTTTTCAGCCAGAATATTGTTCGTCTTGCACCTTATAGATTCTTTTGTCTTTTCTGTCTTGTCGAGTTATAAGCTGATGATACACTCCCGTACGAATATTTTGTACAATATCCGAAGGACTAAGGAATAATTATTGAAAAAAAAAACAGATGTAAACTACCTCAGTAATTATATATTTGTTGTTCATGTTTTAACTTGGGTATTGATATAAGTTTATATTTTACTTATGGTGAATGCTATTTGTACTACAACACAGTTTATATATTAGTGCATAGTTGCGAGTTTTTTTGAGGTGTGTCACTGTTTTTGCCCAGTCGAGCTTTAAACGTGAAGGATTCAGATCGGTTTTGGTAAACACCAAGACCAGTTTGATGCAAATCTTATTAATGAATCTACAAAATAATAAAACTCTGCTTCCTCAATCTGTTGCAAGTTCCGGAGAGCCAAAACATATGTTGAATGTTTCTAGGTGTAACTCTGTTGAGGTAATTCTTTTCTGCAGATCAGGGCTGTGGCACATCCAAATTAATCAACCAGAAGTGTGTTGTGAATCAAAACCCACTTGTATATTGTTATACTTCTACTGTTGTTTCTGGTGCTAACTACTATATTATTGAAGGTGCTTGGTGGCAATTCGACGATTGTCGCCGTTATCGTTACACCTGTAACATAGGTAGGATCATCTGTGGATTTAGGAAAAAATTTCAAATACGAAAACGAAACTGGTGCATGTTTCGACGTGCCGTTTTTTGCGGTTTTTTCCTGTGCCATTGTGTATTTTATTGTATGTCAACATCTACAACGCAGCCACAGAGTTCGAAATGATTTCTCAGGAATATCAGCTCAGGTAATTTTTTTGAATTGGCTTTATACCTACGGATATCTAGTAGGGTTAAGTGATTTTTCTTTGAAATGGTTTTTACACGCTCCCGTTTGAATTAAATGTTACACCTCTGTAGATGATGATGACAAGAAATGAACAGTTTGTCATGTGGTTAATGTATAATAATTTTAGATACTTGGCGATCATTTTCCAGACAAATAAACTTGTTTTTTTATTCAATATGGCATACTTAAATCCAAAGTTTATTACACACACTTATTTCAGTTAAATAAATAAATAGTGTTCCCTCAAGTAGTTGCGTTTTATTTTCCTGTACCTAATGGTATTACATTTACCAATTTATTATACAAGATCACTTCTATATGTTAGATTATATTTCACAAGTTACCGGAACATATGAAATAGTTATACATATAAATCAACTCCTGAAGATCAATCAATCACTGTTTAGTACTTTGACAAACCCTGATATCTAATCTGATAGTTCGTACTGAAACCTCTGGCGTGAAATGAATCTATTGAAAACACTTTCCCAACACCAGAACAAAATACGGTCTCTCGACGCACATTTCGCTAATCAAGTTAACGCCCTCGAGAGATCATTGCGACTATATTTTACTATATTAATGTGTGACTTAACTACTACCTGGTATTAGTACCTGTTACTGTTTCCTCTATAGAGACAACAAATAACAAATTAGAGGTATTAAAAACAGGTAGTTTAGAATAGGAACAATAACAGGTAGTAGTTAAGTACTGATTACCTGAGGATGCTAACTTGGTTGGAGAAACGCGCGTCGAGAGACAGTATTTTGTTCTGGTGTTGGGAAATTGTTTTCAATAGAATATCACTTTGATACTACTTTCCTTATGATACCTTGTATTCAATGAAAACAAAATAGTTAAGGCTTTCGTGGCCTAGGTTTTCACTATCACTATTTTTTGGTTTGATGGTCGTCGTTTTTCTGAATTTCTTCCTGACGTTTTGCTGGGGCGAGTGACTAGCTTCTTCAGAGGCTTATACATCCTGAGTTATCTCTGATGACTGGATATTACACCTGCATAAAGCGTGTTTTGTTGACTTAGATACTCTAGCGTGCTAAAACCAGGTAAATTGCGTAAAGCGTATTTATGTTGACTCTGGTAGTTTGGTGTGCCAATACCAGAATCAGGTAAACTAGAAAAAACAAGCCTTTTTGAAACAACTACTTTTCTATTTACTTTGGCTCCAAACATTCGTTGTGGAATTGATTCAGATATCATTCACAGGAAGGCCACACAATACAGCACATGAAAGAGAGAAAATTTCACTTGCATGAAACACTGTCATCCTCAATGCGAATATAGATGTTTCGCAATGTTTCTTATTGCCTCTCCAGCTCCAATCTGGAAAACATTATAAGAAAAAGTATATTTGCTTTCTTACTTCTTTTGGAAGTTCACCACATTTTTTGTATAATGATGAAGATATATTTATTTTTCATCTTTTCATCAATTTTAAAACAATTTCATTTAGATATCTCACACCTTTTTCAGTATTTTTACTGTGACATAAGTGAAGAATTCTGTGAAGAAATTACATACTTACCTTCTTAAATTTTATACAAAAACTCACTCATTTCAATAGAACACCAATAAAATGAATAATCAAATGAGTTCATAGGCGATCAAATTAAAAATATAGTTGAAGTAACTGATATAGTAATCTTAAAGGTGTCAGCGAAGTCAAAGGCCAAAAAAACCAATACAAAGGAATTATGCCGCAACGAATTAGTCCACGTGGACTGAAGAATTGGCGGTTCGTATTGGATAATGATTTTAAATTAGTTGAGTAACTAGAGCACCCACAACACACTGAAAATGCTTTCTGGAAAATTGCACAGGCCTTCAAAAAATTATTTTCCGCAAGCTTTAGCAAAGGCACACCAGTCGGCCGCCATTTTTGTCGGAAATCAAAGTTACAAGTATAAGAGAAAATGAAGAAAGAAGAGTTCGTCGCATGTATTCAAAGAGTAATACAGAGAACAGATAATAAGAAGTAAGTTATAGGATTTCTGGAAAATAAATTCTTGTTGCTTGCAACTATCCAATGAAATTTTAAATATGAATCTTGTGCTATGCTGTATTTTTTCCGCGCAGCTGAAAATGGAAAACGGCAAAAAAACATACTATGCTTAAGTCTACATTATGTGCGGAAAACACTCCCCACATAATATAGACTTGAACAGATTCCTTTTGTTCTGTCAAAAACTTTCTACAGAAGAATTGAGATTGACCCAACTTTGTACACATGTTGCTAGATGGCGCAAGAATTGAAATCTGTCACTTGTATTTTTTCAGATCTTTATTTCATTTACAACTACACAATACGGTGTTTCAATCGCAAGTGAGCTTCGATAATTTATTTTGACGAGTGTGAAGTAGTTAAGCACAAAACTTATAAACCCAATTTCCATAAAATAACAATAGGAAGTATTTTCAAATGACTTCTCAAGTTACTTTTTTAAGAAAATGCAGCTAAATTACCCTCAGCAAGTTTACCAAACTTCTCAGGAATTGTCTACCTTACCCCGCTTAGATTATTCAAAAAATATATATCACTAATGACCGATTCATATATCAATTTTTACTTCTTCTTCTTTTATTTTGAGAGTGTTCATCACAGAACTATAATTTAGAGTTACTCTAAGTTATAGTTCTGTGGTATTTATATACCACACTTTCATTTGTCAGGTTGGTCTATGAAAGCTTCCATTTGTTTACATTGCAGAAGCAAAAGTAGATAAATGACAATAAATAATATGAAACTTGCATTCTAGTGAATATTCTATGCACATAACCGTTACTTTTAAGGCAATTGCAAGGCAATTGAGATTAGGTATTCTTGTCATCAACAGTGGTCCAGGTTTGTAATATATTCTCTTTTTATTATTTGTTTCTGATTTCTCTATCTCAAATACTGAAGACTGTATTACATGTATCGTTTAATAAAATTTATTGTTATGCATATACCCATTAAATATCTTCATAAAGAAGCATATAATTATTAAAAGCAATAACATTAATTTAAAACACAAAAGTATGAGGTTCTGAGTTGTTTGAAGTAACTATGGGTAAGAAAGGTCGCACTAACTTTATGTTTTATACAAAGTTGTTTCTGGCAAAAATAGGTCTCTCTCTCTCTCTCTATGATGATGGCTTTTGCTACAAAAATAGGTCTGTAACACGAAATATGCTTTTCTTTAGCGCATGCGCATAAAATAGATTGCGGCCACCGTTACTCTGTTTCGGCTACAAATGACTGTCTCTATTACTCATACTGGAATAAATAGACGTGTGACGTCCCGTATGAATGGGCTCATTCAGGCTAATTTGGTTTAACCCTCTCAAAAATTAATAAGCACGCCCCCGATTTGCTGTCAACTGGGCTTACTTCTACTCTCAATCATTATTGGTTTTAGTATAGTCGACTGATGTGACGTCAAGCTTGACCACGCCCCGTTTTAGTGAACGCCACATTCAACTATTAATTTGAGGGGGAAGGTAGAGAGTGAAAATTCAGATTTTTTGCAGATGTACTATTTGAAACATAAACTATCAAATAATGAAATAAAACAAATTTGTTAAATGAGGCCATTGTAAGATTAAGAAAATGAACCTATTCGACATTTTTTATAGATTTTTATTATTCGTCATACTATAGTCTGAAACATAATGAGCAAGAGTATCTGTAAAAGTGCTGGGAGGCGAAATAATTCGACTTTCTACTTTTTCAGAAATTATAAATTTTCAAGTTGACAATTCAAAATTATACATTTCAAATATTCCCGCTTCTTTTATACTACGACTTCAACGCTGTTGTGGGCGTTCTCGAAACCAAATCGATGTTTTAGGCGCTTTATCATTGCAGATTCCTTTTTACATGTACACTTTTTCTACGGTCATTGGTCATTATGTGCGAGGTTTGTGAATGGTAAACTGTGTATTTGTATTTTTTGTTTGTTCCTGTAAATTAAAATTTCGGAAATTTAGGCGAATCCGGGGCAGCTTCATAGAATAGGTTCAGTCATCAAAATTTTCAATTCAAATATTGGTTCCGCTGGAATTGATAGCAGACTTTGGAATAAAAATGAGTACACAACCAAGCCCAGCAAACCAAACTGTAGAAAGGGAGAAAGTTTTTAACTGGATATTGGAATTAACGAATCCCGAAAGCAGAGAGAATGCGTTACTTGAACTGAGGTACCTAATTGAATTGAATGAAATAATGAATTCGTTTTGAATAACAACTTTTTAGCAAAAAACGAGAAGTGGTACCAGACCTAGCCCCTATGTTATGGAACAGCTTCGGAACAACAGCGGCCCTATTACAAGAAATCATAAACATATATCCTGCCATAAATCCTCCTACGCTAACGGCACATCAGTCGAATAGGTGGGTACATGTTCTTTTTTATGTATAACTTTCATATATAACATATCAGTATCAACTTACAGTCATGCGAAAATAGAATCTTCACATAAAACTGTCAGTAAAACGGTATTTGAAAATTTCAGACTCAGCACTGTCCCTTGTGTATTTGCAAAATTTGTGAAAAGTGGATGTCAATTCAGTCGTTTCATTCTTTATGAGCTTTTCAATGTAAATGAAATCGGTATGTTGACAATTCCTATAAGATAAACCAGAATAGTATGAATTTAGAGACATTTCATATAAATGATCTGAAAGTTATATTCAAAGTCAAGTTCAATGAGTCATTGTCTACAAATGTCGATGATTTCACATGAAATTTTGTAATGTATAAGTTTCACAACTGTAGAGGACTTGGCTCATGGTGAATAATAATAATAATAATGTTCGGTAAAAGTTTTACTATTTTTACCAAAGATTGTAAGTGGAATCAAAGCATTATTGAAATATGAAAAAATGTTGCCAATATATTAAATTGTATCTATTAACTTGGTGAAATTGTTGACATAAGGGTGGGCCGGCGGGGCTACTGCCTCGGGGCCTCCACAGGAGAAGGGCCCTCACAAATAATATCCAAATTTTGACAGGTCAGCAACTTTTACCTTTTTCCTCTGAACATTTTTTTGCATTAATACTAAGAATACTTGTATAAACACAATAATACTGATTCAGTGGCAACACTTTTTTTCAATGTCTAATTTGTATGAAGATGAAGAGAAATAAGTAAAAAATAAACAAAAACAAAATATAATTAGGGGCCAATAATGTTATTGATTTTGACCAAGTAACGGGTCAGTGAATTCAACATTTTTGTTTTATATCATGTATGATCGTGAAGAACCAATGAATATATCTTCATTCATTAATTCAAAATTTCATTTTAGAATTTGACACGTGTTCTTCAATTTTCAGAGTTTGCAATGCATTAGCACTGTTACAGTGCGTAGCTTCTCATCCAGAAACTCGTTCACAGTTTCTGCTGGCACATGTTCCTCTATTTTTGTATCCTTTTCTGCATACTTCGTCGAAAACAAGGCCTTTCGAATACTTGCGATTGACCAGCCTAGGAGTTATTGGTGCACTTGTTAAGGTAATTATGGTTTCTCATGTCGAATAACATCAATTAACAATATATGTCCAAATACTGATATTAGGTATATCAAAAATTATTTAGAAAAAATCAAAATCTTCAAGACCTTCTCAAAATCAAAACTTATGAAAGAGTAAAAGACGTCCAAATATTGATATTATTTAAAATATTATTTATTGCAGATCCACGCTTATATGTCCTTTTTGTCTTGAAACAAAGTGAGGAATTATTTTGTGAAAATCAGACGCTTATTGAAAAGTCCCCTACATAATATTTTTATTTTAGACTGATGAGCAGGAAGTGATTACTTTCCTCTTGACGACCGAAATCATACCGTTATGCCTTAGAATTATGGAGTCCGGATCAGAGTTAAGCAAGACTGTGGCAACTTTCATTTTACAGAAAATATTGCTCGATGACAGTGGTCTGTCATACATCTGCCAGACTTACGACCGATTCAGCCACGTCGCAATGATTTTGGTAAATACAAACCACATTAAATGATAACAAAGAGATTACTTTTTGGGGTACGACTACATGTTTTCATAATTTCAGGGTAAAATGGTTATATCCTTAGCTAAAGAACCTTCCGCCCGCCTTTTGAAGCACGTTGTTAGATGTTATCTTCGCTTATCAGATAATTCAAGGTTTGTGATGTTACATACTATTTTACAATGCTTCCATTCCTTCATCGGTTCTGTTCTACTAATGAATCAATCAAAATATGCTTCATTTTCCAAGATAGAATCTTATTGACCAAACTTGTTATGCAAGATTAAAAACTATTATACAGTGTGACACACTAAGATGAAAACAGTCCTGTATTTTAGCCATTTCTGAAAGCAGATATCTGATTTTTGGTACAGTTATGAAAAAAAACCTTTGTCCTGCTGTCATACTGTGAAGCTTTTGGAACAAAACATATCTAAAGAAATAATTTTGAAGAATTCATATATTTATTCGAAATATTTTGTTCAGAGCGAGAGAAGCCTTGAGACAGTGTCTTCCGGATCAATTGCGAGACAATACCTTCAACATTTGCCTGCAAGAAGATAAATCGACAACACACTGGCTTGCTCAGTTGTTGAAAAACCTCGAAACGTCTGCCCCAACAGATCCCCGGCAGGTAGGTATGTCCCCCCTCACTTCCCAGTGAAAGTGCAGCTGTTCAAAATGGGCCGGAGTTGGTTCTGACCTCAATAAAATCAGTGAAGTAGATTTTGGTAAAGAAAGTAAATTCATGTATATGTTGATCTATTGAGTTGATTCAAGAAATTATGTAGTATAAAGAAATTACCATAACTGTATATAAATTGAAACAAGTATATCTCGTGTCGCAATCACTAAATTCCACTCACGAACTGAAACTGAAATTTGAAACTGTATATTGAGAGCTGGAATAGTAATTTTTTCAGAGTGTAATTGGTTGTGATACACCAACATATGGTTGAGGACCTTCTATCGAAAATTTTGTATATATTTAAAAAAGGAAACATACATTCTACCACGCCAGATGAAGTATATTTTGTGATAAAATTCGTATTATAATTTTCAAATAATTCATCAGTAGAAATTGATTCATGAATAGTCTTAAGGGTTGATTGACAAAGAGGTTGACATTTCAATCAGTTGCTACAAAACCCTTTCATGTAGGTAGGTAATATACTCCTTATTTTTGTAATGGATAACAATCACCTTGTACATGGCATTTTACATAACTATACCGAGGGTCAATAAAATTGGCACAACCAAATCTTGTCACTATTCAAAGCCCTGCCAAAATTAACAGTAATCGAATGAAGGTAATTTCTTGATCAACTTCCTATTACGGTTTGATTTTTGTATTAATTTCGTTTGAAGCACTTTTTTTCAGAGTTGGCTACACTGTTCATTTGTCATTAGTCTCATTAGTGTCAGTTGTCATGTTAATTGCTCCCGCCATTACTTTAAATTGATAGAAAAAACTAAATAAGGAATGAATACAATGAAATTAGCAAATAAAATTCAAAAACAGACAATGATACATATGACAACTGACAAATAAACAGAGTAGCCAACTTAGAAAAAATATGTGTACTCGAAACGAAATCCTCATCCAATACAATTTATTGTTTCAAAAGATAGACTTTGAACAAATCAACATTTTTTTTAAGGAAAGTTAAACAAAATAACATCATTGCTTGAAAATTCGATTCTTTACATACTCTGAATGAATGTTTGTAGGATTTTCTTTTCATCCCTAAAAAACATCATCAGATAAGGCAGCAAAATTTTGTGATATAATCTGACCAGACTTAATTCGTTGCCCTAGTTCATTCCATGAATACATATCGGGGCTTTTGGAAAATGATTTGGATGTTCGTATTTAGTGTTAGGTCAAGCTATAGGTTATATCTTTCGTACCGAATGAGATAACGGAGGAAATAAACTCCAGTGCATTCGAACTCGTACACTAAAAGTTATGATGCAAAATTTTGGTGGTGCTAGTTTTTTGATCTTCAGTGTAGTATATACATTTTTGAAAATTCGCCCAATATTTTCTGGTTTATTGGAAAATGATATTTATGTGTGGCTTTTTTGTGGCTCTCTTGAATATTTACAGTATTTCCATATTGAATCATGAAGTTTTTTTTATTTTCATGGTAGTACAACTTTATTGTTATCCGTTATTTGTAAATGTCTGCTTTTTTGTGATCTCTACTATGAGGGGTGATTTAAATGTGATTTTTCATGTGTTTATTACTTAATATTTAAATTCACTACGTAACTGTTACTGTACCTGTACTAAAACGTTTTTATTAAACGATGTTCATAAAACTTACATTTTTTGTTTTGTTATTTTTAACATGTGTAATCAACAAAATGCAATTTTTTATGACTTTTGAAAAATAAAACATGACCATTTTCTGTAAATTAATGCAATCAGATGACCTATCTCTGAATAATAAAGTAATCAATAAACAAGGTAGCTCCTCATTTATAGTATTATTCATCGATAGAAAATTATTAAAAAAAATTGTTCAATGTCTAAACAGAAATAAATCCCAATAACAAGACATATTAATTTGTTTGAAGGTGGTTGACAATGTTCCGTGGTGTATTTCATCACTTCGGACTTCCATTGTCTAATATAATATAAACTGATTTGAAATCCCTGAAAAAACTAAATAAAAAAGATTAACCGAAAAT